AATCCTGGCTTTAAAAAAAAATTAAGATCTATTTTTAGATAGCTGAAATTCTCTCTAAAACAGCATAGTGTAATCTAGATTTTTCTTCTATTGAAACAATAATGCAAGACTTTTTTTATAAAAAGTAGAATTATCCTGCCCTTGGTTTAAAAGCAATGTTTTAGACAAGTAGCTAGTGACCAGAATAAATAATTTTATCAGGAAATTTGAACTAAGGCGGATAAAAGCCATTTCAGAAGAGCAGTAACAACTATAACATTTCTTGCTACGATATTTAGAAACATTATTCAGGTAAGTTTAGCTCAGTAATGCCCACAGCAGTCACTGGAAAAAAGACTGAGATACGTGCTTTGTAGTACATGAGCATCAGTTTCTCTCCTACTTGCAAAAAGCTGTTACTAATCCGTAAGATATATAGCTGCAATTGAATTCTAACGTGCACCTGTGCTTAACCTGAAAACAACTCTGCAGAAGTACAATCAGAGTTGCCAGTGCAAAGTATGCTGACTGCTAATTTGGTTAGACTGCTGTTTACCCTGTTTTAATAAAACTCAAGATTTTGGGGAGCTAAGTATTTCTATTTCTAAAAGTACTTCCATACATGCCATTGTCCTCTTCTTTCAAACACACAATACTTGCTGAATTACCTCTTTCCTTTGAATCACTATAAAATTAATATTATTTTATCCCTTGAAACAAAACATTTAAAATGGTGATAACTTTTTCATGAATTTTGATCAACTGAGCAACAACAGAAGCGCACGGGCACTAAAATAGAAGGAAAGGGGGAAAAAAGTTTGACTAAATTAGAAGGTTATCACGCTACTTTTTTAAACATACGAGAGGCATAAATAAGGAAAAAGCTAAAAAAAAAAAACCCACACACACACCCATAGAAGGATGTGACACTGCACAGGTGCAACTAAATAATTAATTAGGAAACAGACCACTCATTGCAGGCAGTGACGTGAAGAAAGAAACAATTTAAGATTGAAATCTCACACTAAATTATCAGCCTGGGAGTTTGGGAAAAACAGGTAATATCTTGTTACTTGTAGAATTAAATTGTTTGATAGAATAATTTTTAGAACAGAACTGCACTTCAAATCCTCTTGCCAGTGACAATGACGACACTCCATCCCTTCTTGGTTAGTTTATTTTTCTTTTTAAACCTTCTCCAAAACCAGTATGTTCCTATAGTGCCAAGGGTCCCAAAACTGAACCTAGGGCCTCTAACCTGGGTTAGTCTCAAACATGATTTTATCCAATTACAGCTACTCCTTGCTTAATGTCGTAGTTACGTTCTTGAAAAATGTGACTTTAAGCGAAACAATATTAAGTGAATCCAATTACGTCACAGTAGTTACCTACTAGCAGCCGGCAGCCAAACAACATTACAACCAAACATAGTGCAACTTTAAACGAGTATGTCCTCTAATAGATCAGGGATATAATAACGAAACAACATTAACTGGGACGATGTTAAGTGAGGAGTACCTGTACATAGGTCTCCCACCAACGTGAATCTGTTTGGATTCCTGTAACAATTCCCTTGATCTCTTTCAATTTCCAAGTTAAATGCAACACCTTTTACTGCTTGTACGTTAAAGATTAAGAGTATAAATTTGCCTTCTGATTTTTAGTTTCAAAATGCATTAACTAACATGGTTACGCTCAACTTCATCAGCCCTTCCAAAGACAACTAGTTTACTATATTTAAATGACATACATAATGTACAGAAAGATTTCTAGAAATTACCCATTTCCAACATAAAACAAATACTTAAACAACCCCTCCCTCCACCTCTTCCAAGATGTGCGTGCCTCCAGGCACAGATCTCTAGCATAAGTGACAGTTTCATCAAGATACATTCTTAAAAGACTAGATACTGTATTGAAGATTATTCACTTTCTAAATCTGTAACTGCATATTACTATAAGCCATTATGATTTACATATTTTTTATCCACCAAAAGCACATATTAAAGCTACTCTAGGTTTTGCATAACAGCTCCTTCTCTGTCTCCAGCTCCTCCAAATACCAGGTTTCCTCTACTGCTCGCTAAAGCTGTGGACACATGTTCATTTGCTGTGCTATACTGCCTCAGCACTTTGTAGTGCTACAAAAATAAAGTGCCACATGGACATGCATGCTGCTGCAAGTAGACCCCATGTGACCCTCCCCCCCACCCACTACATGCAACTGGACACACATAACATGCGACTCTTTGAAAACAAAACTTTTCTGTAGTGGATCCACAATTTTTGTGGCATTGCAGATGTGTAAACCTTCACTTTCTGTAGAGCTACAAGGGGGTTTGGGTTCATAATTTAAGGGCTTCTTACTCCACCTACAAATCATTCCTGACCGCCCCCCCCTGGTTTCCTCAGGCATACAAACATTGAACAGGAAGTGCCACAAACATCTACTTGTATTGATTATATATTATATGTCCTTGCCATGATCCTATAAGCACATGTATTGCAATATATAAAAATAACTAACCTGATTGATGTGTTAAGATCTAAGCTACTTTGATAGCGTGTTTACTCAGAAAAACAATCTACATCTTCATTAAAAATCAAACAATATTCCAACCTTATGATTGAAAGTCTATCACTGAAATGACAACTCTTGGAATATGTCATCCTTCATATAAGATGCAGGTAACCATAACAGAATGCCTCTTTCTTGGATTCAAATATTTCAAACTTGTCCTGGCTTGCTTACAAAACATACCTCAGATGGGAGCAGTTTTCAAATCAGACTCCTTATATGCAACCTGCCACAGTACTCACTAGAATAGGAGAGACTGCAATCTCTTATGCCCAGAGCAATACATCAGTTAACATACAGCCTTCAGATACCACTCAATTTGTTATGCCCGTGGCGCTAAACTTACAGGTCTGCCAGCATTAACATTATGAACTTTTATTTTCACAGGTTGGTTGCCAGTCCCTCATTCAAGGTAGATGCTTGGACTACAGGCTTTAAGTCACAAGCAACATTTCCTTATTTATCTGCAATAATTCAAGGCTTGTGGAAACTGTTCATTTGATAGCACCGCTGCCCTTATATTTTAATTGTTACACCACATGAATGCAATGGCAGTACAAGATTCATGTTATCAGTGCACCTCACTTGCACCCACAAAGGAGCCACTTAGGAATTACCCATTGAATAACAATACTATTGGCCATAATTTGCCATTTTTCTCTTTCAGTTCCTGGATCTGACAAATAAGACATTTAAGAAGCCCTAAAAATAAAAGAGCAAATAATTTTAAGGATTTTAAATTGAAATGACAGGGGCATAAACGTATCCTCTAAAAATGCAACTAAAATTCCTAACGGATTTTAAATGTGGATTTTCTGCACGTGCACAAAACAAATTCTGATCTCATTTTTTAATCACATCAGTCTCAAAAACTTTGCAAGCTAACAAACTGCACAAGCTCCAGAGGAGCCATCCCAGCAGTTCCACCAAGGTACAATAAACGCTAATGATTTGGGGGGAAAAAAAAGAGAGCAACAGAGAGAGAGAGAACAACATTGCTTAAAGGAGTCCAAAGTAATTACCAGTTTTTCAAGAATTAATATAAACTTTTCTTTGCTGATCACTTAAAATATCCAACTACACAACCCAAGAACATGGGGATGGACTTGATGATCTTACAGGTCCCTTCTGGTTCTATTTTTAAAAAGCCGGAAGAGCTGCTCTTTTTTCTTTCAATCAGAACTATGAAATTTCTTCCTTTCTTGGGCAAAGGAAGATCAGTCAAGATTCCTCTAAGCCTCTTTGGACGCCCGGCTCTCCGAACATCTGGTTGGAGTGGGAAAAGTGTTCCTGGTCCTACCAAACCGGGAGCAGACCTGGCTGACTTTCACCTGGGGGGATTCTGCCCAAGGACGGGAGTCGCTAAGCCCATCTGTTTCTGTGACACCCCCCACCCAGGTCCCAGCGTTTGTCACCAACTGCTGGTGCCATGCATCTTCCCAGCCACATCTACAGAGGCAGCATGTCCCAGGGTCCCCAAGCAGGGTCGGGTGTCCCTAGTCAAGGTCTCCCTGATCACACCACGGGTCCTCGAGCTGCTACACAGCTCCTCTCCCCGCAGCATCCCCGTCCCCTGCGGACCTACTACAGCCCAGAGCAACTGCCTTCCCCCCAGCACTGAGGGGGGTTGGGGGGAGGGCAGCTTGCCCGACCCGGGTCTGACAGGAGGGGGCAAGGCCCAGGCGGAGTGGGGCGGCCCTCCGGGCTCCCCCAGGCAGCGGGACCAACCCCCCGGGCGTGCCGGGCCTGGCGGGAGGTCAAGTGCACCCCGTCCCCAGCCGGCAGAGGGCGGCTCTGCTCCGCCGCCCGAACTGTGCTCGTCCCTCCCCCCGGCCGGGCAAGCGGCGCCCGATGCCGCC